GGGGGGTAAAGTGAGTGGAAAGCGAATGCCATCAAGAGTGAAAGAGGTTGGTGCGTGGAGGGGAGGAAGGTGGCAATATATGTAGTATTTTATATTTTGTTAGTTCTACTATTGAAGGCATATGACAGATTGTGTTAATTGCTCACTGTGTGATCTCTTGACAGGGAACACTATGGTAGGATAAAATGGCCATTAAGAGCACAGTTCTTTGTAAATGTCCCTATGCAATATGAACCCACCACATGGAAACACTAACCCGATTATTAGATCTTTTCACATATACCTGGCATATGGATTCTTGAAGTTTAATGTAAAGTGTGTCTTTCTCCTCCACCAGTTGATTTATCTTGGCTTCATTTTTCTTTTTCAGCTCTTTTATGTGAGATTCATGTCCCTGTAAGCATTTTAATGTATTATTAATTAAAACAAAGCACTAAAACAATGTGTCACTAAACAGAATAAACACATTTGATTTAATTTTCACGATGCTTGTTGATGTCATTTGTAGATATAATAAGGAATTCCTATTGACTATTTTGTGGACGTTTACCATGAAAACCCTGCAGACACTTCAAACAGAGCCAGCGGTTTGCTTCATCTGAGTTCCAGTCACTGTAGATTGAATGGAACTCAACCACTTTTATGTGACAGCTTCAGGGAACACTGTTCAGTATATGTTAAGGTTGATCATGTTCCAGAGTAAGTGTATGTACTATGAAAGTGATACTAAAGCCTTATTTTCTTTATCATTGGGGGGTTGTATTTATTGTAGATCTGTGTTTTTTTTTTAAATGTCTCCATTCCTCATTTTCTAGTGGGTCCCGCATCCTCCCCCTCCAACCCCCCTGCCCCCCCCTTGCACAGGTGCCTCCATCAGCTAAGCAGATGCTGTGGCGTCACCCGTATGTGCTCATTCACAGCCGAGCCCACAAGTGGCTGTGTGGGTCCATAGACACACACAGTCCCGTGACAGGCCACGCCCCTCCTCTCCGCACCACAGCTTGATTGATGGCAGAAGGAGCATATGGCCCTCAATCTCCTCTCCCACAACCAGGAAGGGGGGCAGGGGAACCAAAAAGGTACTGGGCATTTTTTACCTTAATGAAGAGAATGCATTAAGGTAAAAAATGCTGAGCCTTTAGAACCATTTTAACTTCCTTTGAGTTTTTTTACTTCCTTTAGTTGCTTAATATGTATGAAATGTGAAGCAAGTGAAGACAATGACATTGAAGACAATGGGGTCTATTCACAAAGCTGCCGAGGGCAGCTGAGTGAATGACCGATCAGAAGTGAAGTGAGCCGAACACTGTTCGGCTATTCACTTCAGGCTTGTACGGCTGATTTCAGCCGTACATCGGCTTGCTTCGTGTGGCTTCGGATCAGCCGAACATGCTTACAGTTTTGTAACAAGCAAAGATAATAGTGGATCATAAGAACAGAGGGGCAAACCTGTCTCATGTCATGTATTACAAAAAAGGATTTTACAGGTAAGAAAAACATTTCTTGAGCACACATCACAGGGCAGAGGATAGTATTCTGGAACATTGGGATGTCCAAAAGCAGTCCAATTTAGGTGTGGGCACAGAGAAAACAAAGGCAAACGGGTCCACAAGAAAAAAAAACAAAACAGGTTAATAGAAGGAGTTAAAGAGAGCCTACAGAGCCACCTGAAGCACCTTACAATCAAAGCCAGTATCAGTTGATGCCTGAATATCAACCTGGTAATGCTTGAGAACAGAAGACCAGATGGCAGCCTTGCAATATGAGAAACAGATGCCTAATACTGAAAAGCCCATGAAGCACTAACTGTTCTAGCACAGTGTGATTTACCCAGGAAAGGGAGAACCTTTCCCTTAAGGTCATGAGATTGAATGACAAGCTTTTAAATCCACCTAGCGCTATTGGAACGAAATACAGGCTGAGATTCGGATTGTTGAAAGGAAGCTTGTGCCGAGAGATGAACTCAAACAATGCATACCACATCCAGACAATAGAGAGAAATCTTATAGGATGTGTAGGAAGTGGAAGCAAGAATTTACCTTGGGAAGAAAAGAGGCTCCGGGTCTCAAAAAAACTCTTTAAGTACCCAGGGGTGCCCCAGGTCTTTTACAATCCTAGCATTACCTGGGCTGAACTCTCTTTAACCTGTAGTGAATGGAACCCTTTAGAAACAGAGCTGTGATCTAATCAAATGGTTCATGTACATAGAGATGCTGATGGGATCATCTTTTTACATATTTCCTATCTAGAAGAGAGAGAAGAGTGTGTCTAGCTCTCAGAGCACTATGACTGGTGCACTGATTACCCCTATAGTGGCCACTATCATTTCTTGTTTTGTACAGCTATGGTTTATATTGGTTTCTACTGTACTTTCTGCAACTGTCTTTTTTCCGCTTCCATGGACATTTGCACAGATTTCATCTCTGTTGCGTGGATCTTAGTTAAGTCTTCTCGGCTTTTTGCTAACTGCTCCTTAAGATGCTTTGCCTCTGCATCTCTCTGGCGTTTTGTTTTACTGACTTCGTCTTTGTGCTGTTTCACATGTTCTTGTCTTGGAACTGAGTGTTCCCTGAAGGCCTAAGAAGAAGAAAAGAGAAATACATCAGAGAAAGTATATATAGTTTTACAGTTTGCCTTTATCAACAAGTTCAGTACGCTGCAAACAAGTGAACGGTTATGTAATTAAAAATATGAACATGATCAAACGTCTAGCATGCTGCAGTTTAAAGACACCCAAGAAATATGAAAAAATAACAGGGTACAGAGAGAGTGACGAAGAGAGCACAGTCTGAATGTTGTTGCAATTCCCTTTAGGCCCCAATCACACCAGGGTGGTTTGCGGATCAGCACGGTTTCCGCGTTGATTTTTAAAAGGCCTGTTTTGGGAGTTTTTAATTGCGCTTTGGTGCTGAAACGCAATAAAAAACGCCCCAAACTGCACGGTTCCATTGAAAGCTGTATGGAAACCGCACTGATCAGCGCGGCAAAAATGGGTCAGGGAGCAATTTGGACGTGGGGCAGTTTGGATCGCGCAAACCCGCGTGGTCGCATGAACGGTCCCCATAGCAATGTATGGGATCGTTCATGTAGGCACATCCGTGCGGGTGTGAACAGGACCTTATGTTTTTTTTGGGAAAAAAAAATTGATATGAAATGATCCAGAGTGGCAGAGGAGCGAAGCAAAGGTAGAAAAATTTGATCGCTTTCTAAGACCTTGCCGTAGTTTTTTTTTTCCTCATTTTTTTAATCCATCTTTTAATAAACTGCATGGAAGCTGTCAATTTATTGCTGAGTTTCAGCTCTACAATCAGCCAAATTATGGTGGCTGGTCAAACCCACGGGTAGTAGATGGGTTGACTTTTTGGTGATTACTTGCGATCAAATTTTTGATTTTTTTTGGTGATAGAAAGTGGTTGAAATTGACTAGAAATTGTCACATGTATGGCCATCTTTAGGGCCTGTTCAATCCAGATGCATTGGGCTGTGCTGGGCAGCTTTGCCCAATGCAGTCCCAATGCACCTACCAGGAAATTTGCCTTATATCCTGTGATGTCAGTTTACATCCCTGTGCTATGATGGTGTGTGCTGATAAAAGGTAGGGCATGCAGTACTTCTTTTCATTGCAGTGTGTTGTGACGCACTACACCACATCCCAAGATGCTACGGTGAATAGAATTAAATGAATTGTCACTTCGTGACATTTCAACAAAGTTCAAAGTAAACAGTGTGATGCGCTGCAATGGCACCGTTCCCTTCACTGCGCACACCAGAGCTGCAGCAGAATATTTAATCTTTCTCACTCCTAAAGAAATATCATTTGTTTTCTGAATGATTTGTCCTGTTTATTAACAGCAAATACATTTAGATGTGTTGTACAGCCACTTAAAACAATGAGAATTACAAATATTTGCAGATAAGGCGCACATTATTCCATATTGCCTAGCAGGGACATCTCTATCATATTGGTCATCTGACACCGTATAGAAACCAGAATTGCTACAGCACCATGAAGCTGTTTGCAGTAATCTACAAGTAAACATGACACAAGCAACTTGTAACTCTATCATGTTCCTATTAACTGATAAGAGTTTTCTGTGTAGGTTGATGATAGAAAGCAATAAATATCTGCAGTGCATTGTGGGATTTCCATGCAAAGCATTTTTTCAGTATTGTTTGCTTCAATAATACCTGCTTTGAACTGACAGCTTCCCCACTGTCTCTCTTACTTGAACTTGTCTTACGAGATGGCTTCTGCTGCTGTTGATCTAATTGACTTTTTAATTCAGCTAGTTCGCCGAGAGCAGCTTTGTGTGCGTTTGACACGGTCTTCATCTGTTCTGTCAAAACACAGAATGGTATTATTGCTTTACCTTGCAGTACACAACAACTAATGCATGCAGGCTTCTGCTCTATAGAGGATTTACAATGACTACCTATCTGGCTCTGGAGTTCATTCTCTTGTTGTAATAGTCTCTGCTTTGCCACTGCAAGCTCCTCTTCCGCTTGTGACTGTAGGTTTCTGCATTCTATCAGCTTTTGGTCTCGTTGACGTAGCTCTAGTTCCAGGTCCTGGAAAAGAGTAATTGTACAGTCATTCCTTTATTGTTCACTCAACAATTTTTATTTATTTATTTATTTAATTATTTTTATTGAACATTTTCAAAAGTTACAATCAAGGCACCAAACAATCAGTATTCAAAGGTACAAAACCTCACCCACCAAGTAGTAGGGGCCCATATCTTAGTTGCAAACCAAAAAAGGTAGCATAACAATAAAAAACAAGAAGAACAGCAATAACACCCCAACCCTCCCCAGAAAGCCATGTGCCATGACAATTTACACCAAAATACACAAATACATAGCTGGATTCACAACTTGTGCACAAAAGGAAAAACAACCTACAGCAAGGATATGATAGAGGGTATGGAGCCATGAAAACATGAAACAACACCTGCACATCTAAAATAGACTACCTCAAGCAGCAACATCAAGGACATCTACCTAAAGGAGGGTGGAGTAATAAAGAAGTCTAACAAACCTATGCTGTAATATTAAGCAAATCTAAACAGCAGCCCCAAATTTCTTGGGACAACCCCTATGAATATAAGCAGCTTTGTATAAATTCAGGAAAATAGGCAAGATTCATCCCAGAGGAACTAGAGGCTGCCCTCTAAACCAGGTAGTCACTGGAATCTTGACAACATGGAACAAAACACAGAGCACGCACCACCTCCTAGTCTTGCTCTCTTGCTCTGACGCGTTAGCATCCCCCCCTCTTGCACCTACCACTATACAGCAATCTTGGACTATCGGACTCTGTTATTGATATGCCTGGTTTCCTTTAGGAATAGTGAGTAGAACTGTTTTACTCTTTTGTTTCATCATTTGGTCATTAACATACTGCACTAGGAGGTGGCTCTAGCATTGAATAAATGTAAGGAAGAATTAATTAAGCTGTTCCAGTCCATCAACGTAGGAGGCTCCTTCTTTTTCCAACGTATGACCACCAATTTCCTGTTCACTTAACAATTCAGTTAGTAAGTTAACTTTTAATGACTAAAATATACAAGTAGTTAAAAACAATGTAATAGGACTTTTAAGGTACCCCAATAACTGGCTAGTACAATCATATGTCATAAAAAATATATAAACTTTATTTACATCTTTACAACTATCCAACTATCTAACTTATATTGACACATAAGATTACTTTGATATGCATATCCATAACATATCCCATCATATATAATGTGGCCGCATCGTCTCATAATCTCTTATTTTCTGAAAACATTGTTTTTACATAAATCTCTCCCAGAATATTTTACTCCATCTTTTTATCTCTTAGCAGGGATTGAATGAGAAGATGTATTGTATATGCTCGATGCGTTTCATAAAAATTCACTTCTTCAGGAGATGGCTACACATATTATGATTTTGTACTCTATTTCTTTCATGGCTTTCATGGATACCCAGAAGTCTGGGGTGCGGATAGGGTGGAACAAAAGAAATACCACCTCTGAGAAAAGGCTCCATGACTTCAGTTTCTTTGATGCCAGCACTTTCAAATGAAAAAAAAAAACATCCTTCATATCTCAGTCCTATTCTCAGCCACAATGGGAGAAAAGGACTCAATAAAGCAAACAAGTTTTTATGGTCCTGGGACCGATATAATTTTGTTTCATCTCCTGATTTTCAAGGGGAGCATAGCAGTGGATTTTACCCTCCTGGCTGGCTGATGAACGGAGATAGAAAACAGGTTTACAGAAGGATTAGATTGAATTTATTTTAAGCTGTAATCTAGAAAATATCCAACATGGATTCAAGATATAACTGAGTTGAAAGTGCTGGCATCAAAGAAATTGAAGTGGTGCAGTCTTCCCTTTAAGGTGGATCTATTTGGTTCCCTGAGAATTCGGTAGGATTGGATCGAACACAGCTCATTTCTCTAGATACAAATAAGGCAAGAATCATTGTAGATTTAGCTTAAAACTGAGAATTGAAAATATATTTTTTTCATTTGAAAGTGGCGGCATCATAGAAACTGAAGTGATGGATACCCAGACCCAGTTCATGGATACCCAGACTTTACTTATGAAAGCCATATGTGGAATGACACAGAGAACATAATCATATTAAAGTGTAGCCATCTCCCGGAGAAGCACATTTTTGAAAAACGCATCGAGAATATACGATACATCTTCTTATTCAATCCCTGCTAAGAGGAAAAAAGATGGTGTAAAATATTCTAGGAGAGATCTATGTAAGAACAATGTTTACAGAATATGAGATTATGAGAAGATGCAGCCACATTATACTGTATATGATGAGATATGTTATTGATATGCATATCAAAGTACTCTTGTGTATCATTTGTATAGTTTTAAATATGTATAACGTTTATGTGTTTTTTATGACATATGATTGTACAAGTCAATTCTTAAGGTACACTTAAAAATGTCTATTACAATGTTTTTATCTTGTAAATTCTGATATTTGGATGTGATACCCAAAATATTATACCGCAATTTCAAAATAAGGCAAATTACTAAAATAAGGACCCTTATTCCTTTGTTACAGTTCCGTGAATTGAGCAATATGAGACAGTGAGGACCTCATTTTGAAGTATCTTGTCTCAACTCATCTCAGAAGTATGGAGAAAGGACGCTGAAACAAGAAACTACAAAAAAATTGAATAGTTCCATCCATCTGAGTATATTGTATAGTGAAGATGTGCGACTAAGGATTGGTTCACACCTAGGAGATTGAGCTGGTGAGCTGTTTTCGTGCAGTTGTCGCACGTTTTTGTTTGTGTGATTTTGCTTTGAAAACTGCGTGGTTGTCAATGCATAGAGATGGCTATGAGACCCAAACCGTGCGACAACCGCCCGAAAATAGCTCCTACACCTTTTTGCGCGACAGGCGATTTCAGCCTCAAATGACTTACATGCAGATCTTTGTTTTGTGTGATATGGCACGGATTCGCCTAGGTGTGAACCTAGCATAACAAGACAAGTTTAGGAAAACAGATCTATATTTTGCCAAATATTAGACATGCGATTTGTTTCGTTCCAAATCAAAATTCGTACGAATTTTCCGAAATTTGGACATATACAAATTTCCGAATCCCAATGCATCCGAATACAAATTTCCATTTCCAAATTTCGGATCCCGTCAGAATCTCGTTCAAAAATGAAACTGAATCAGATATGTGACTTTTCTGGCCAGTCAGATGTGTTTTTTTGGTTTAATACATCCGATTGGGTCTGAACGAATTTACGTTAAGGCAAAATGGGAGCCATATACAGTATATACATATAATACTAGCGCTGAGGCTCCCAGACCCAAATGGCATTTGGGATCCAAATTTCTGAATTGCATTCGGGAGTTCCCAAATGCCATTCGGGTCTGGGGAGCCTCAGCTTTAGTATTATATGGATATGGCTCCCAGACTCGAATGGTATTCGAGAGCTCCCAAATGCAATTCGGAAATTCGGATCCTGAATGCCATTCGGGTCTAGGAGATTCAGCTTTAGTATTATTATCTGTATATGCTTTTCTGTGGTATTCACAGCGAATATTCGTAAACTCATACAAAACTAACGAAAATTCGGATTTCGTCCGAATCCAAAACCCAAACCGAATTGGATTTTGAATCCGAATCCCGAAATAACAAAATATCCGAGCCGAATTTCTCCGCAGCTTACATGTCTACCAAACATATATTTGAATTCCTACTGTGTGTTTATCTGTATGGCTGGCTTTCTGTTTTAAGCTTGTATAGGATGTAGAAGTATTAGCTTTGGCCAGTAGAAAATGTTCAAAGTTTGCTTGTTGCCATGGGGTTAGACCAGCTTGGCCACAATCAAAATGTCATTGCTAATTACTAAACCTGAATGTGTACAACTTTGCAATGTCCTGAATAATAATTAATTTGTCAGAGAAGGGGAATTCAGTTAAATGCAGCCCAGCAGAAGTCACATGATAAACGTTACATTAAATGCTATACATAGAATCCCTGCTCACCTGAGTCCTTTCCTGCATCCTGTGAGAATAGTCTTTGGCTTCAAGCATTTCAAGCTCCTTTGCTTTAATGTCCCCTTTCAGCTGTTTTACTTCCAGCTGAGTTTCTGCCTCTTTGGCCTGACTAGTCTTCCTCTGGTCTTGCTCTTTCTGCTGAAGCTGTTTTATCATTTCTGTAACAGACTGCTGCAAAGCTTTTCTTAAGCTTTCCTTCTCCTTGATGTAATTGCTGTGAAGTTTGTTCGTCTTCATTGTGTACTCCTCTGTCAGCTTGTGGTTCTGGCTCTTTAGGCTCTCAACTTCCTTGCTCAGAACTTGGATCTCCTTGTTAAGCTTCTCATTAAGCTTTTCTACGGATTTTTCTTTTTCGCCTAACGTTCGTTCCCTTTTTAGAGAATCAGCCTCCTCGGTCAGTTGCTGCAGGCGGCTTTCATAATCAGTTTTCATAGACAGCATTTCCCTGGATAAAGCTGCAATTCTTTCTGCCTGCTCACACTGGGTCTTCAGTTCTCTCTCCTCTGCCTGTTTCTTATACAAGGCAAGGTCTACTAGAGTTTGTTCCTTCACCATGTTGTTCTTCTCCAATGCTTCCTCCAGGTTCTGGATCTGTAGCCTCAAGTTCTTCTCCTCCCCCACCATGCTCTCATACTGCAGAACTTTTTCTTTTGTCTCATTGGATATTTGTTCCATTTCATTTTGGTGACTTTCCTTTAAGGTTAGGATGTTCACTTCATATTCATCAACTTTGAGATTCAAAGCATAAATCACCTTTGAAAGACAAAAGCATGTGTATTAATTCTTAGTTTGAACATCATTAACGGATAATGCAATAATGCAAAAGCATTAAAGAGAGACTTTGTTAAAGATGGAAATCATAAGGAGAGTGAAGAGGTGAAAGCTCACCTTAGTGTTGTTTTTACACCAATCAGTGCTTGTTAGAGCTAGTTCTAGTGTAGACACAATGCCCGAACTAGTGTAGACACAATACTATAGCAAGTGTAGACACAATGCCAGAGCTAGTGTAGACACAATGTTCTACACTGGATTGAAAATTTTCAGTACATATTAATGGACGAGATCAGAGGTGTAACTGGAACCTTCTGGGCCCCGGTGCAAGAAACCATGAAGCCCCAACCGCCATGGCACTGCATGGTTAACAGGAAGGCTGCCGAGGTCCCCAGCAAGCGTGGGACCTCAGACAGCCGCTTGTTTAAAATTTTAGTGCCGGTGTTCTGTCCAGAACGCCATCCCAGTATCTGCGTTTACTCGTGAAGATGCCCAGTATAAACACTGGTGTATCCCTACTTAAAAATATAATGCATTGCTGGAACTTGTAGTCCTACATAGTTGGAGCTATTCTGCATTGCTGTATAATCATCATACAGCAATGCAAAATACCACCAGCTATGTGGGACTACAAGTACCAGCAATACATTATAATAAAAGTCAGCTATGCAGAATACCACCAGCATCTCCCCCCCCCCACTATAATGCATTGCTGGGACTTGTAGTCCTACATAGTTGGTGCTATTCTGCATTGCTGTATAATCTTCATACAGCAATGCAGAATACCAGCAGCTATGCGGGACTACAAGTCCCAGCAATACATTCTAATAAAAGTCAGCACTACAGAATATCACCAGCATCCCCCCACACTTCCCCGTGCACCCCTTCTCCAACTGCAGACTTACCTTTCCTCTTCTGCAGGGCACTCATCCTTGTCTTGGTGGCCAGGGGGCGGGGCTAAGAGGAGAGGGTCCTCACACAGTAGAATGTGGGGCCCTCTTCTTCCTTGCTGGGCCCCCCCCCCCCAAGTGGCGGAACGCCAGGGCCCGGTCACAATTGCTGATGAGATACCTATCAGCAGGAGATTAAGATCCAGACCCTAGCTCAGAAACTGCACAAGTCATGACTTTTACCTGCCAGATCAGAGCAAAGAGCACACCACAATCCTCGGATCCACCAATTTATTCCATCTAACCATTTCAAACAGCAAATGTAATTGAAAATTATTTTTTTAAACAGAATAATACATGTATTTTAGTTGTGTTCTGGGCCTGATTTTCAAATTTAATCATATTTATATAAGGTTGAAACTAGGGATGGACGAATAAAAAATGTTTTCGGTATTGGGTAAGAGTACTGATATTTTATCTTCTGGTACTTGCCGATACCGAATACTGATACTGGCATCCCGAGGTACCATGGGCTCGGCTTATCAGGAAGCCGGGGTTCAAAGCTTCATGTTCCCTCGTGACACTGTGAGGCAGCCTGGCTTCCTGATCGGTCAGGAAGCCAGGCTGACTAGTGACAAGTGAATCCGGCTTCCTAGCTAATCAGGAAGTCAAGAGGTGGGTTATGACCTGCTTAATGATTGGCTGGGAAGCCGGCTCCATGCTCCCTTGCGGCACTGCATCTGACCCGAAGTTCTGGTATCGGGGTAAGTATCGGAGCATTGGTAATAGTGCATCTCTAGTTGAAACCAAAATCTCCTACACCAGTGGATGGAACTACCAAAATCCCAAATCCTGAAAATTAAATATTCGTTGACAAAAAAAATTAAAGGGCAGGTTTACCCAAAACACACTAAAGGTAAAACTGTTCAAGAAATCAGAAGGGGGATGTCACACTTTCCAGTGCTAAGATCTCAATCACACCCTCTATTATGGCCTTGAGACAAAAGCTTATATGTAAATGTGAGACAATAGCTTGTATGTAAATTTGAAACTGTTGAGGGCAAATCAGAGACTAAAATAGATCTCCCCAGGGGTCTTATAGGGCTTTAACTGGCCAGTGAGTGAAGAAACTATGCATCCATGCACAGTTCAGCAAAGGAGAGGGAGGCAACATTTAGAATCTATGTGGTCAATGATATGTTTTTAGTGCTCACCCCCAAAGGAGCCACTGGATAAATGGGTCTTCCTTAGCCTGTCTAGGGATTTTATCAACCTGGCTGCCCCAAAAACACTTTGCGCCCTTCTGTAGCGACTGATAAAGCTGAGATCCAGACTGTAGATATGATGCTAAGCAAATTTAATTGTAGAACTTTAGGGAGAGAGTGCTGGGGCTACGAACATCCAGGATGGTGTAGACTCCGTTTAGTGGTAGAACAAAGGAACAAAGTATCTGCTGCCATCACAAACTAGAATCTTTGAGGCAAATGTGGCAATCCGTGTACTGAGCACCCGGCTAAGCAGTACTTGAATGAAGTATTTGAAGTCACCAGTCATTTTCATCCTTGGTATTAGTCACTGGGCCCCCAAAATCAGGCCTCAGTGTGAGCACATGGCTAGTTCCCTAGGCTTCAGGCCCAGCCAAATCAGTTAGTCCATAAAAGTCTCTCCTTAGGCCGGAGCCTAGGGGAGAAAGAGCACCTCACATGGTCCGCCCCAAATATTATGTCCTCCCTCAGCATGCACCACTGGCCATGAACCTCCTAGTGATTGGCCAGGGGGGCATCGATATTCATAACAATCTCTTATTGATCTGCTCTGTGGTCAGGATACACCCAGCAGCAGGCAGATACAAATGATAACAGATTGCTTGGAGAAACCAAATGAGCATAGACTATAGATCAGCATCAGACTGATTACAATCTGACAATAACTAAATCTAATTAAGCACTCCTGCTTACATGTAATGTCAAGTCAACAATGTCAAGTAGTTTAATATATCAGTTTGTGAGACGAACCACAGAAGAATACACTGAGTGGCCAGATTATTACGACCACCTGACGTTTGTAGGCAAATTAGCTATAATTAGCTATAATTTCGCGCTGAAGTTGCTAGAGGGCCAGACCATTATAAATAGGGAAGCAGGTTGTTTACCACGACAGTAGAAGTGATTTTTTTCTGAAGATATGGGTAAACAATGCGATTTAACAGCCTTTGAACGTGGGATGATTGTTGGCGCTTGGAGCCATGGAGCGAGTATCAGCAAAACAGCAGAATTCGTTAAATGTTCAAGAGTAGCTGTTGTTAAAGTGTTTGACTGGACTGTCAGCCGAAAATCTGGGTCTGAACGTGTGCATTGTGGCCGTCAGCGACTAGTCAGTGTTTGGGCAGAAGGGAGAGTGGCAAGACTGGTACAAGACAACAGAAGGGCAACAGTGCAGTGTCAGATTCCTCGCATCACCTTTCAACATCTCAGTTATCTCGTGGCCCAATGAAGTACTGATGGGGTGGTCATAATAATCTGGCCACTCAGTGTATATATTCCAGCAATAATTTGTTATATTTACTGTATGTTAATAGAAGAGACTATTAACTATTATACAAAGACATTCTTTCTTTTTGGCTTAAATGATATTTTATACATGATATACTATATTAAGATTATATCTGGCTCGGTGTCAACTCAAGCCCTGTATTGCTGACTTTGTATCTTACATCTCTAATTACATCAAGCTAAGTCTTATTTTAGTATGTCTGGCCATGGAAATTCCCTGAAACGCATTCTAAATTTATGAGTGTTAAATATTTCAGTTTAGAAGCTGTTGTCAGTTTTTAGGAATAATTGTTCTTGTCTACAATTAACAAAATCACCCTATCAAATGTTTATCATGCAGAAGATTAATAAAATGCAATTGTGTTGTTGACTATTGTAGGTAAAAAGAGCAATGGTGCTGATGTGCCGGGAAACAACGCAACAAACCAAAATTCTTATTTTACTAAGCTTTGTTGGTGGACTGTAATGTGCTGGTTACACCATCACTGGGTGTTCCACGGCTGTCAGTGTCTGACATATTTATGTAGCCCCATGAAAGTTTATGTAGTTTTCTGTTGCAAAAAAATACATATTCATTTAAAGGGCAACCAAAACGCACTTTACAAAGGCACTCCAACACGTGTGTGTCTTGCAGCACACCACAAAGCATAGGTGGAAACCATCTGTATGTTATGGATCCATGCATTGATACAAAAAAGAGACATATCCAGTTTTAGCCGAGTTAAGGTGCATTGGTATCTGAGATGCCGAATACATGTTAACAAGTGTGATAACTCACTTCACAGGCGTGAAGGGGCCATTACAAAGTACCTTTTATTCACTTGATTCAGCCCCAGAGGAGCTTACAAACTCTCCCAGAAAGGAACAAGCTTATGTATTCTTAGGCTGTTCTATACTGGCTGCCATTGTATTGTAAACGTGTCACCAAGTGTATTTATAGCCAAAAGTTTTTTGTTTATTTAAGACAGAGTAGGGAAATTTTAAACACTTGCCAGTTTATTTTTTTGCTTAATGAGTACATTAGAGACATTTTTGTTCACTTCCTGTTCCAAAGACACAAAGAAGTTAGAGGAAATCACCCAAAGTGAGGGGATTTCCCATCTTAGACAGCTGTCCCTGGAGCAAGTGTCCCCATTGGAAGATTTTCACTTACCTTTTGTTCTAGGGACAACTCTAGAATTTTAAATTTCCTTTCACTTTCTGACTTGGTGACAATAGTCATGAGAATCCCCTCAATGGGAACACAAATAGCAAAAAAAACCTCAACAGAGCGTCTCCCTTTCCCACATCATATAAAGCTAAAAAAATGTTTTGCCTAAAGAAAAACTTGAGGATCAGACATAGAATTTTTGATAGGTTTGGTATGTTTTAGGCAGCAGTAGACTACAAGGTCTCATAGTGCGGCAATGCTGCCTATCTGCTGAGCATACATTCTCTATAAATGTGGTTCCTATAGCACAAGACTTCCAGCACGTAGGTGATTTTAAATACTGGAATGGCTTGACACACTACGGCTACATCTGAGTTATAGCCCAAAGCC